GTTTTGCCATAATAAGAATCTCATGGCAAGCTGGTATTATATTTTGCTTGCAATGTCGTTTATTTGAAATCTATAGTTGTAATAAAGGTTCAATTACCCAAGTTTGAGGTATCTCCTCGTGCACAACTCCATCACTCTAAAGACCGCGTGGCACTTGGTAACACTTGGTGACATCATCAAGTGGTATTCGACGATTATAGTACTGAGTATGTAACTCGTCTGCATTTATTACAAAGGGATCACTACTTGATAAAGCACGAAATAAGTTGTGTACGGATGCATTACCTTCAGCGATAGTTTTACAATGTTTATCAAAACTGAGATTGCTACAGACCAAAAAAGCCGAGATCTCTGTCTCATCAACATAGTCCAAAAATTCTCCTTCTATTTGATACTGATAGTCCAAATCACCTGGGCCAATGTGAAGAATTTTTGGGTTATTTGGCAAGTTCTAGAATTTCGACCATTTAAAAAAGATATGCAGTGCTTTGGAGCATAGCCTTATCTGCCATTGTTATTGTTTTATGGATCCCGAAATGATTAGCAATTTACAACAAGACACCTGCTCTCGAAACAAGTTCAGGAAGTTCGTGAGTATAGATGCTAAAGAGTATTGGAGATAGTATACGCCTCCTTGCGGTACGCCACTAGACATCAGTATGAAGCGAGAGAATGATGAGGACCGGAAATTTGCGATTGGATAAAAAAGCAGAGATCCAAGAGATGATAATCGGATGGATACCTACTTGTTTTAGTTTGATTGCAAGTTCTGAATGCGAAACCTTGTCAAAAGCTTTTGTGAAATCCAGGTAAACAATGGGTGCTTTGTCCAGAGTCCAACGAATGAGTCCAATCATTCAGCGAGTACAACATACTGTGAATCTGCCCTCTTGGAAACCATGTTGGGCACGCGGAATTACGTTTTGATTTTGTTGATGATTCACTATCTGCTTTTTGATTAGTTTTTCAAAGACTCGAAAAAATTGATGTTATGCTCCACAGGTCGGTAACTGGACACGCATGTGTAGGGTTTCTTTTTTACTATAGGAGATACAAAAAAGATCTTCCATCGTTCGGATATTTCTGATTTCATTAAGCTCAAAGAATATGTACAGTGGCTTAGAGATAACGTGGGCCACCGCTTCAATAAAGTGTAGAGGTATACCATCCGGTGTGACGGACCTAGATGGGGGCCGTTTCCGAAGCAGTCAAAAATTTCATAGTCATTGAAATACGTCCTTTCATCTCCGTATAGTCAGGTTGCAAGGAACTTGGAACAGGACTGAATCCTGTCTGAGAACTTTTTCAAAGATATCAGCAAAACTTTCGGCTTTGTCAAGGTTTAAAGTCATGGTATCCCCCTTATCGGATATGATCACACCCATTCTTTTCCTTTCTTTGATCCTCCCGTTGAGCAAGCGAAAGAATGTGGTCCTATCTCCCTCACTCTTATTTTCTAAGTAGGTAGCATACTTCTTAAGTCTTTTTTCAAACTTGCCGCTTCCCTCTGAAAGCGAGCAAATCCTCTTCACCAGAAGCTTCGAATCTAAACTAGGCCGACTTGCGAGCTCTGAACAGTCTTTCAATGTGGGCTGGTAATTTAGGTCCACTTGATGGGACAGCTTTTAGCGGAATGAAAAGAGTGACTGCATGTTGAATTACAAAAATTGGTACTTCATACCATTTACAGTTGTTCTGACTGATTTGTTTAGCAGCGTCCAAGATCTTGGACGCTGCTAAACAAATCAGTCAGAAGATTCAAACTATGCCAAGATTTATGGATAGTCGAACATGGATTCTGATTTACAGTTTGTCGTGACCACTCCAAGTGATCCAATCCAATCAATAGACTGCAGGTATCTAATGGCAGCCTCAACATTTTAATATCACCAGCGGTGACCGCTTATGTAATGTATGTAAAAACCAATTAACGAGTGACTGTTGACACTTGTTCCATAGGAGGTTCAACATTGATCTTATTGACCAGCTGGTAAGTACCAAGTCCAGAGTGTTTTGTTCGTGGGTATGATGTCTAACTTGGACAAGCTTATGGCTCAGACGCATATTCAGAAAGTTCCTCGACATGGAGCTGTTTACATTAAGTTTTAATGTATTCTTATTGATATCAGGGAGATTGAATTTTCGAGTAGAATAGTCGAAAAGTTAACGGCCATCAAGTCTGAGAGTACCTTGATTAACTGATCGAAAATGCGACATGAGCAGGAAGGCGTTCTATATACCAATATTATTCGACTTTTTTTCATACCGGTATGAATGTCTGCACAAGCTAACTCATAACCATCATTGATCGACTGACCAAATACTAGGTGTGGGCACAGGACTTTACTTAGCAGTAAGGCTACACCGCCCTTTTTGAACTTGCGATCACATCTATATATCTCGTAAGATCTGCACAATACACGAAAAAAGGTGGCATCGGATATGTCATAGTTCGGTTCAACCAGGTCTCGGTAATCCCACGTACACATGGCAAGATGTTAGCGAGGAGGAATCTGAGCATAAAATGAGCATCTGAGCATGAGTTTTTTGATCTCAAATTTGCCAGAAGACACAAAGAAGACAAAAAACTATTTCCTTTTCAAGAAATAACTATGCATTTATAGAATCAGCAAAATCTGTATGAGAAGAATGATTGATGACATCCATATGACTATTAGCAGGCGAGGAAACATGGAAACATGGGAATTGACATTATCATTTCTGCAAGCACTCATTCGCAATTTTTTTTCTAGCTTGAGATTTTCACGCTCCGCTTTCATAGGGATGCCCTAATATAGATGCTTTTTTTAAGGAAATTTCTTCATCAGATAAGCTCTCCGGGTTATTCCAACAAAAAAAGATGGAGGCAATTTACCTTGAAGGCACAGCTCGAGAAAATTGCGACTGCGGGGTTTCACGACTAGCTGATTCCGCTACTGCGCTTAAAATGTTAAAAAAGTGCTTTTTTGCCGTCTCCGTGCCTTGGAAAGTGCTGGAGGGGCGGGGCGAGGGATTCACCTCAAAGGGCAACTGGCTGCTGGGGACTGTAACTCCATCTATTTTGGCGGCAATTGGCTGATCAGCCTAGCAGCTATCGCGATACAATTTGCGCCAAAATAGGTGGAGTTACAGTCTCCTGCAGCCGATTGCTCATTTTGGGGTGAAACACTCTTTTGACTTTTCAAGCGCAGTACCTGACTCAGCTGGTCCAGAAAACCATGTAGTCGTGGAATGCGCGCAGTCGCAATTTTCTCAAGCCATTGCCTTTAAGCAATCTATCCCGAGAACTAGGTTTTACCATGCGATAAAGCAACAGGATCGCCATCAATATTCAAAAAATCGAATATCTGGCAAACACAAGTCGAATCATAATTAACTCTTACGCTGTTTGATCCAGCATGGTACTCCGGAATTCCAACAATTGTCAATAATCGTCTTCTTTCTTGTTCCTGTCATCCGAGTTGATCCTCTCAAGTTGGTTTTCCTTCCGACTGATTTTTTGATCTGAGAGATGACCTTGATCTATCGTTTTCGGATTTGAGCGAAAAAATCTCACCAGACAATCTTTTCAATTCCTTTACCAACTCACAATTGCTTTTCACAATCGACTCCATTTGCATGCGACTATTCAACAGGTATCCGAGGATCATTCTAGCATATATTGGGAGGTCATCGTTCAACAACACTATATTGGCGGCCTCGTCCAAGTCAGGGGATCGTGGGGGCGTTTCATTGAACCCAGTCTTCTTTTCGCTGGCATTTCGAAGCAAGCGGGTAAACCGGTGTGTTTTTCGTCATAATCAGAGAGTGTAGTTGTAGTAGGCATTTCCTTGGTAGTTGTAGCCACTATGCGTTTATTGAGACTATATATTGACAGCGGTCGAGTATATTGGGGGAGAGGGAGAGAACATAGCAGGCAAGCATGAACTTCCACTTAAATGGTATGTCCACATCTAGGTCCTATTTGTGTTTCAATATAAAAGTGATTGAAAGCCTTGATCAGGCTACAGTCCATGCGGCCAGTCGGCCTAAGATACTGTAAAAAAATCATTTAGTTCCATTAGTCTAGCATTAGACGTAGCTTGCATTGATTATTCAATTAATCTATTCATTCAATTATCTTCCATATGTTGTGATTTTATCATGATAATTCATCATACAGGTTGAAAAGCCTGTTCAAAATAAAAACGCAGAGTTTGCGTATTTTGGGATAATGAGCACTCATCTAAAAAGCTTTCGTCGCATACAACACATAAAGTGTTAAATAAAGGCAGACACATTGTAGAGGGCAGGCAAGTTAAATGATAGGTTACGCCAACCATATGCGTGCGTAGCGTCGAATCGTAACACACAGAGACTGGGCGCCGTTGCGTCCGACGAAGATAGCTCATGCTAGGGAGAGACAGCAGATGGTAATAGAAACGAAAGAGCGCTTGGTCAAAGAGACGCCGACAAGTCCGCAGTCTTTGCGTGCGACGAATCGCCTATCGGTCAAATTTCTCTCAAAGTCTAAATTCACTTTATAAAGGTGCTTAAAGACTTCGAGAAACGTTGAGCTCTGTAGGCACTTGTTCTTATTTTCTGAAACCATCTCAATACAGGGAAGAACATACTGCTCCAAGAAAGAGAACTATGTGTGGGTCTTATTGACAGCCGCTGGAGTACTGTATGTATTTGCAGCTATCGTTCAACTTGACACGCCCATTTGTTGCAGGAGAATTTTAGAAGGTTTCACACGTTTTGTAAAAAGAATGAAATTTTTGAGCTTTTGTTTATATACTTGTAAAAAATTTTTCCTTATAGCTGCTTGCTATCTGTGCCCATCTTCGGCGCGGTATCTTTTAATACTGTATTAGGTCTTTCTGAACTATGCTCTTATCATAATCTATGAAGTTGCCAAAGTGAAGACACTAATCAAAAGAACATAGGCGTTATCCGCTGTCCGTGTGCCAGAGTGTACTGCCGTGCCAGTGTCATGCTAACGAAGTGCTATCGCCGAAATGGGATCTCCTTATGGTGCAAGAAAACTGTGGTTTTTGATGAAAGCATTTGATAATTTTTCCAGTGTGGGTGGTTATAATTAGTGCATTCCGTTGCAGCTGTAAGGTCAATAGATAGGACGTTTGATTTGCAGTCAACATAACGATTACACAACAGGTGTCCCAAAAAGTTGTAATAAACGTTTGATCTTCAATAACTCCATTGTCATAAAGTCTTTCGGGACTTTAGGTGCCATTTTGTAGAACTGCTTCAACTTAGATTTAGAGTATTGGAGCGAATCATCGATTATTTTCCCTACTGTACTGGGAAGAAACTTCTGGCATATGCGTCGCTGTGAAAAAGATGACTTTTCGAGTAAATTCAGAAAAAATAAAGACTCTGTAATAGGGTCAGGTGGGCGCTGATCAATGCTCAACTTTTCACGAGATTAGAAGCTTTCCAAGTAAACGCCTTTTTGAGAACACCAAGAAAACGGCTACGCTCACCTGACATAACTTTCTAACGAAACATTATAAAAAGATGCTAGCTTCATGTTTAGAATAAGCGAATCGAAGTAGCCTAGTGTGAATGTTTTCGGCTTGTTTTGTTTCTCTTCAGGGCGCAACATGACATTACATGCTCAGACAGTCGGTACCGTAGCTCCGGAGGACAGTCGAAATCTGGCAGAGCCGCGGAGGACCCAATTGACCATTGAGAGCGGGGAGAGGGGGCGGTCCCTTCTTGTAGGTCACGGTGACGTCACAAGCAGGCGAATGGGACCCCTCTCCGGGACGCGCAAATCTCTGCTCCGGAAGTACGCCAGATTTGGGAGAGTCCCGGAGCAGAGATTTGCGCTCCGGAGGTACGCCAGACTTGGGACACCTCCGAAGCACAAATGGGAGGTCTCCGGACCACAAATGGGAGGTCCCCGGAGCACAAAACGGGAGGTCTCCGGAGCATAAAATGGGAGGGCTCCGGAGCACAGTATGCGCTCCGGAGGTACGCCAGATTTGGGACATCTCCGGAGCACAATAGGTACGCAGCCAATTTGCTGTGATACACAGCTTAGCATTTTCGAAAATAAGCTGCCGCCGCTTTCGACTTACCCTTTTTTGTCATTCTTTCGCCCTCGCTTTTCTTTTTTTTTGGTTCTTCGTGTTCTCGTCGGCGCGTTGGCATTTAGGTTGTTTTAAGTTATTCGTTTTCAGGTTTATTTCGGATTTTCGTGCGGATGCACTCAATCACTTTTGGTGCTCGGCTCTCGTTTTCGACTTGCTGTCGTTTTTCCGCGTTCTTTTCGTTCTTTTTCTTTTTCGTGTTGCTCTTCGGCGCTTTTGGCGTTTATTTGTTCAGTTCCTTCTTTTCAGGTTTCAGGTCTTAAGTTTTCGTGCGGATGCACTTAGTCACTTTTATGTTTGGCTTTTTTCGACTTGCTGACACATCGTTGACTATTGATGGAGTGGTTTTTGTGATAGATCCTTTATGTTCGAAACAAAAGTTTATAAACAATTCGTGTTGAGTCACTATTAGTATGACCGATATCAAAAGCTAGTGCTATGCAAAGTGCTGGTCGCGCTGGTCATAGTAAGCCTGTTTAGCTTTTCGGTCCTAATCGTTCTCACAGTGGGAAACTTTGCATTTTAGGATCTCTACATGCTCACGAGCTTTCTGAGGTACCCAGTCTTCCAGAATCTCATGTGCGAAAAAGTCTGCCTTGCACATCATGACCAGGTATTGTAATGCTTGCTCAGCTTATCTTGAACTTTCGTTTCTAGGACTTGTCTTTTTGTTCGAATGTATCAGCCTATTACTCTGACCAAGTCATACAGGCTGGAGCGAATCACTTTTATTTTTTATCCGCCGTACTGCTTCCGTCACTCCTTTCAACTCTAGCATCAGAAGCAGGTGAGGTTGGGATTGCTAGGTTAATTTTGCTTGATTTTGGTAGGTTATACATGACGTTGGAACAAAGTCATTTTAGCTGCGGATATGTGGAGCATCAAAGTCCCACTCTAATTCGTTTCTTGGCTTGACCCTTTGCCCAACAAACAACATCGTTCAAACTCTTTACATGACCTTGTCAGTTTATATGCTGCTCATAAGCGACGCTCCGCTTGGCATCTGTGGCGGATATTTCAGTTCTTTGTGAGTATTTTTTTTCTGTTGGAGTGCTTATGTTGACGTGAGTTAATTTTGTGAGGCTCAATGCAGGCGAAAGGCACTGCCTCTGTAGACTCTACTCGTCACACGATATGTTATCATTCATTCTTTGATTAAGAGACAAGAGCGCGCTTTGCGTACATTTCACTAACAAGTTCATGAATGAGTTTGATTACTACCGCGTTCGATTGATTTACCATTAGATTTCGTGGAAGAACATGTTTAAGCTCGTTGAACCACGCTGGGTTGAACACTTTCTTTTACGTATTCCTGATATTAAATAATCAAAACACGGCAGAACTTACCCATGAACTTGTTGATCAAACGTACGCAGAGCGTGCTCGCGTCTCTTAGTCAGATGATAAATGATATATGTTATATATGTTGTAGCATATGAAAAAAAAAACCAGTAGTCGCAGAAGGGGTATTGCTTGCGTCCTCAAATAAACTATAGTACTTCCTCATATGAATCCTCTGGTCACAATCCTCAATTATGGCGTAAAAACACATCCACTACTCGTCGCAGTATCAGAATAGCTGGTCTCGAAGCTGCTATTTCGCCTTGGAGGTACTGTAGGATATGCCGTTTGTGGCACAATCCGAGAGCAAGCACCTATTCTGAACTTCGCCTCTTAGCTTGTTTTTATTTCTGGCACTAATACAGATTAACATTTATGGTATAGTGGACCTCTTAAGTAGCTCACGTGATCCTTTTATGCACGTAAAAAGAAAACGCATCGATCAAGAGTTTACAGCATCTGCTCAAAATGTTCCTGTTTTCAATCCTACAAAAAAGCGGAGACACGGGGTCAGATAGAGAAGAGTGAAGGAGGAAAGGGCAGGTAGCCGGTTTTCGGCACTCGCTGATTTTCTCATATAATCGTTTTCGTAGGAAAATGTACAAGCAGAGCGACAGTACGTATGGCGTGATTTCTATACGCTCAACTGCATCTATCCGATACTTGCAGCCGTCGTGGAGCAAACGTGATGATACCTATGACAGAAGCGAACTCAAGCTCAAAGCAATGTACAACAAAAGTTTTGTTTTGCAATTTGCAGTAGATTGTTTGCAGTTAATTTGAAATAAATGTCTTGTCTCTTCATTCTTCTATCTTCTATCTGCAAACGCTAGGGGTGAGAGGGAGGGGGTAAAGAACGGGGTTGAGAGTCGCGCTGAACTCCTACCCGGAGGTGGGGGGTCGTATTTGGCGGTCGTATGTCATGCTCGACGCTGGTCTAGAGCTAATTTGGGTGTGTTTAGAGACATAATTTTGGTTTGGAGCCTAATAGGGCTACAGTATGCCGCGGCAGACTTCCGGGGCACAAAATGGGAGGACTCCGAGTCCAAAATGGGAGGCCTCCGTAGCACAAAATGGGAGGTCTCCAGAGCACAAAATGGGAGGGCTCCGGAGCACAAAATGGGAGATCTCCGGAGCACAAAATGGGAGGGCTCCGGAGCACGAGTGGCAATCCCCCGCTGGGGAAACCCCGCGGCTCTGCCATTTCTGCTCCGGAGGTATGCCGTCGACTGTCTGAGTGGCTCAAAACCCTCTTCAATGTTTCTACGTAATCATACAATGATGAAGTGCGATCGGGGATTAATGATTTGCTCCACACTGTAAATCTAAGTTGAAACCAGCTCTACAGAATGGTACCAAAAGCTTTTCAACAAGGGAGTTACTAACGACAAACGTTCCCGTTATATCAATTTAACCGTGTTGAAATGCGCTTGTGACTGGAATTCGCCAAAATACACGGTCTTCAAACTTGGGACAAAATTCATGGGAACATAAGTTTGTGATCCCATGCTCGCACAGTGAAGGTAGAAGCTTACGTGAAGCATGTTCCGATAGCGTTGTTCACAGAGCCTTTAGCGTGCAAAAACATGCAGGCAAGCTCTCCAAAATACCGGCGAAAACTGCAGGCGAATTTGCGATCTTTCCTGTTTTGATTATTTCTCTCTCCCTATAGCATTACTGTAAGACCTTTAATGCAAAATACTAAACTTTCGTAAACAGCGGTTTCGAAAGCAACTGTGAGTGAAGTTTTCGATCATTTCAGCCAAAGCAGCGGCGAGATTGAGAGCGAGGAACGAGAGAAAATCAAGTGGTCTTGTTTCTTTGAAAAATTTGTTCAAAGAGGTTATTCGACTTGCTGATTACAAGAATCCCATCTGATTCGCAAAATAGCTTTTTGCTGTGGGGTTACGGTAGGTATATTTTAAGCGACATGGATTCCTCCATAGTCTGATAGCCGTTTTCGCCTCCAAATCGAAAGGTTTTTGCATCTGTTCAACTGCTAAGATACCTCAGAAGCTGCACTATTGAGTGTTGTCTTTGGGAGCCCTTCCAATGTAGAAAGAATGAAGTTGCGCTATCACGAACACCCGTCCGCAAGACATAATTTAGTACCTCAGGTCAACTCCAAAATCAATTTGAGTACTCAAAATGGCATGCCGATCAAAGTACGAATGCCAAATCAGCTTTCTAAGCTGCTACTGTAGACTTTTTTTTTGAAATAAAATGTTTGTGAATTTTGCAAGTTACCAAAATTAACCAGTCATTCTCTCAGTTTTGGAGAAGAGCGTCAGATAACTCTCTGTCGAGAATATTGTGTGGGCACACTTCTTTCAAAAGGTACTTCCCAGATAGTCCAAAAAAGTCCTGTTCCGGCAACCCATAGAAAGCCGGAGCGGGGTGGAGCAAGTTACTATTGAATATCTCCACCTCATTTTTGAGAAACCACAAGTTTTTTCACCTGACAACCTGTATAACATTAGAAAGCCCGCAAAAAAAGGATTCGACGTAGACCGTCTCTTCTTCTCTAGCTCCTCTCTAATTAGAGTTACATGGGATTTTAGCCAAAAACATGCGTGTTTTTGTCGAGAAATTTCTGCTTGAAGAATGGATAGAGGTGCCTGATTTTCTAACAGCATCACAGAGCAAGACCTTGCCAGTAAACATAGACCGTCTCTTTTTTTATCTTTGTTCTTTCTTTCAAAAACAAATTACAAATTAATTACACAAAATTAACTGGTGTAGGCGTATAAAATTGCACGTATCTCGCTCTACAGAGAAGCTATGAAAAAAGAGACGGTCTACGTCGGTTCTCCATGATCTCAGCTTTCGAATGGTGAAGCAAGTTAGGGCTTTTTTGCTTCCCGGCTCTAAAAAGCACTTGCTCTGGTGACTAAAAGCCAATACATTGGGGGAGCTGGGTGGAGCAAGCTAATAGTTGATACCTCCACACCATTTTTAAAAACTGGCAAGTTTTTTCGCTAAGCAGTCTTTATACCATTCTAAAGCGTAGGAAAAGGAGACTCGACGTAAACCGTCGAATTCTTTCTAACCGCCCTTTACCGAGAGATACACTGCATTTTATCTGAAATTATGTTCATTTTCAACAGCAGATTTCTGCCAAACGAAGACCTAATCACTGCTGGTTATCTATCTGCGTTACAGAGCAAGTCTTCATTAACAAACGTAGACCGTCGACTTTCTCGTAGCATTCATTTGGAGAGCAGAAAGTGAGGACACAAAATTAGTTGATATATGAAGTACATAAAATCCCTCATATCTCGCGGCACAAAAGACCTAGAAAAAAGCCGACGGTCTATGTCGATTCTATATGACCTCAGCTTTTGAATGGTATGTAACTTGTTGGGGCATTTTGCTTTCAGGGCTCACTTACCCCCTTCACCTTACAAGGATGGGAGTAGCAGAGACCCCCTTCACCTGGAGAGGTCCCGGCTCCCCTTATCGCACCTATGATCCGGAGCAAAGCAGCGGATGACTTCCGTTCGTTCAGGTGAAGGTTGTATTCTAATTCTATCATGGCGCTCAAAGTGAAGGTTACCAGAGTACATGGCTCCATATCGAGGGTATAGAGAAGATCAAATTTAGGATAATCGCCAAGGATTTGGTTACGACACTGACTTGAGCAACTGCACTCGGTAGTCAAACCAAAGCTGAGACCATGCCAGGACCCGACACACGTTGGCATGGAGCATTTTTGGAAATAACCCCCCCCCCCCGATTTGGTGAAATTTTGCAAAGTCTCCTTTGGTGTCAGAATCATTAGGGGAATCCTTACTCAATCAACATAACAATAAAAAAGCCAACAAAGCATATTTTGAGGTAAATATGTTTTGGATTTTTTATCATGGACAGATTCCCTCAAGAATCTGGTCCTGATTGTGAGCATGAAGACATCGTTATATCGTTGCCCTTCCTTTGCCTGCTGATTTCTTCATAATTTTTAGATATCGCTCTTCAATGCCAATCTCTTGTGCATGCAATGTATGCTCCATTTTGTATTTTCACTCTTCGTTTGTCCTATCAGAATAGTGATTTTCTGTTTTACTCTTCTTTTAAGTCTCTAGGTTCCCGATAAGGGTCAGGTTGTTAATTTCGAAAGCTAGGGGGTGGGAACTTCTTCTCCAGAAACCCTGGAAACCGACTCGTTCCCCTTGAATCCTCCTGCAAAACTGCAAACTGCAGCAGGCATTGGCTATCAGTCGTTCAAAGTAGGTTGCACTTGGATCTTGTCTCAAAAATCCTCTTCTTTTAGTGGTTTTTTTGTGGTCTTTGAAATGCGTCCCAAGTTTTTCTCGGAAGTCACTGAGGTCACTCTCCGCAAGTTCGCAATCTTTCAGAAGCCGTCGTAGTCGTACTCCGATCCTCTTCGACGACCTCCTTCCTTCTTGTGGCAATGTCACACCTTCTTTCCAACTTTCGACCAAATCACACTTTCGCTTGAAGGAGGAAAATCAACGCTGAAAAAAGGAAGGCAACTTGTCCGCAACTTTTTGGCGGTTACTGTATCTAAGATGATGAAAAAGCAAAAAAAGATTTTTT